ATTCCCAAACCCTCTTCTGCTCCCAGCCTCTCCCTATGCACCTTGGAGCAGCCTCCTCTGAACCTCCCAAACTGAAACCCCATCCTTGCTCCAGCCCTTTTCATGGGGCCACTGGCTTCATCTCCCTTCAGACCATGCACAGAAACCTCCATGTTCCTCAAGCTCCAATACAATGGATATTTGGAGGAATATATATCTTCTTAGTTTGTTTTTTTTAATTATGAAAGAAATGTATGCTTTGTGCAAAAACCCAAACAACAGAACATGATATAAAATACAGGGTAAGAAAAAAAAATACAGAGTAAGAGTCAACCCTTGTCACACCCTTTCACTCTCTCCTATCCCAGGGCCACTGCTAGCCCTTAGATCACATCGTGAAAATTAGACACCCCTTTCCTCCACAGCATTGTACAAATTCTCAGCAAAATAGCAAACTGAATCCAGTAGTATATAAAAAAGGCTAATATAGCGTGGCCAACTGAGGTTTATTCGAGGAATACAAGATTGGTTTAATGTCTGAAGATCAATCCGTGTAATTCACCACATTAAGAAAAAAGAAGAAAAATTATATGATCACCTGAATACATTTCAAAAAGGCACTTGACAAAATTCAATTCTCATTCCAGATTTTTTAAAGCTACATTTAATATTATAGATAACAGTGAACAAATAAATCCTTCCCTGTATGATTGGGAACAAGGTAAAAATGTCCACGTTGCTGCTCTAGTCAACATTACACTTGTGCTGAAGGTTCTAGCCATAGCAATGAAGCAAGAAAAAGAAATAATACCAATCTGAAAAAGAGGAGACAAAATCATCTTTATTCATAGACAACATCACTGCATACATACAAAATCTTAAGGAATCTACAAAATAGGGCAGCCCTGGTGGTGCAGAGGTTTAGCGCCGCCTGCAGCCTGGGGTGTGATCCTGGGGACCCTGGATCGAGTCCCATGTCCGGCTCCCTGCATGGAGCCTGCTTCTCCCTCTGCCTGTTCCTCTGCCTCTCTCTCTGTGTGTGTGTGTCTCTGTGAATAAATAAATAAAATCTTTAAAAAAAAAAGAAAGTTTATCTCCTTGAAGAGATATCTTTTAAAAAAAGGAATCTACAAAATAGACACTAGAACTAATATATGAATTTAGCAAGGTCAGGGTCAATATATTTTTTATCGTATTCCTGTATACTAGCAACTAACAGATAATAAATTTAAAAGTTTACATGTCATTTACAATAGCATAAAAACAGGAAATACTTGGGGGTAGATGTGACAAAATACGTGTAAGACCCATACCTTGAAAACTATAAAACATTGCTGAGAAAAATTAAAGAAGATGTATTAATCACATGTTTTGTTTTCTGTGTTTTGACATCTGTAGGCCGAGGAGAGCCTGGTCCTCCTGAGCTTGGCCCAGAGCAAGTCTTTCATATGCAAACCAACCAATCCTGAGTCTATACCCACTACCACCTTCTTTTTTATTTATTTATTAAAATTCAATTTGCCTACATCATTAGTTTCAAACGTAGTCTTCAATAACACATCGGTTGCGTATTACAGCCGGTGCTCGTCACACCATGTGCCCTCCTTGATGCCCGTCACCCAGTTACCTCGTGCCCTCACTCACGTCCCCTCCAGCAATCCTCAATTTGTTTCCCAGAGTTAAGAGTTTCTCATGGTTTGTCTTCCTCACTGATGTTTCCCTATTCAGTTTCCCCTCCTTCCGTTATGGCGCCTTGCACTGTTTCTTATATTCCCGGTATGAGTGAAGCCATATGATAATTGTCTTTCTCAGATTGACTTTCACTTATCACAGTCCTCCCCCTCTCTCCAGTTCCACTCACGTCAATGTCAATGGTAGGTTCATCCTTTCTGATGGCTGAGTAATATTCCATTGTATATATACAACACATCTTCATTAACCATTCATCTGTTGAAGGACATCTCAGCTCCTTCCAGTTTTGCTACTGTGAACATTGGGGTGCAGGTGCCCTACCACCTTCTTATCAAACACTCACATGCCTGAGCCAATATTTCCTCTGCCCCAAATCATCCCAGGGCCAGGTACCAGTTGCACACCACCGCTATGTCCCAAAGCCCACAGGAATCCCTCAAACTAGCCTCTCCGAAACTGTTTAATCGGCCCTGCCTTGTGTCTCCTATGGAAGCTGTAATCCCATTGCCTTACCTTTTCCTTTCTGCCTCCTGACTGACACTGGTGCTTTCTCCTGGGACTCTGTAGGGCCCGCGGTGACCTCACCTCTGGGACCTGGGAATATAATCGACCTCTTCCTTCTAAGCTCCAGTCTTGTTTCCTCCATTAGGCTGGGAGGCCTAACCAATGAGCACTAACTGGCCAATGCAACAGCACAGATGGGGCTCTTTTCACCTGAGCTGGAGAACTATGTAGAGATAATCTCATTCTATCTCCTCGGGAAGAGAGAGGACTAGTCTGATGTTGCATAGCAATGCCCCCTAAGGTGGAGGGCAGGATTTAAGTTTCCCAACCCCCAGTGAGAGGCCTTCCCCTCCTCGCAGCAAATAAGACCACAAGTGTCCCACTCACACAGGCTTTCTGGAAGGGGTGAACTGTCCAAGGACTCTTATTTGAGTTGACAGGGAAGAAAGAGGACAGTAAAGGGGTAAGAGGAGGAGAGAAGTTCATTTGAAGTCATACCAGGACTCACAGGCAGAGAAAAGGGGAGGGAACTGCAGAAGGGAGGGTGTCCCAAATGTTCTACTCATCATCAGGATGTAAATACTTAGCCCAGTTCCCTATGAAAATGGAGCTCGTAAAACCCTTCTCCCTGTGCCCATGTCCCTTTTGAAGCCCAAGACCTGACAAGTCAGTTAGTGACCAGATTTGGTGGAAGAACAGGCAGAGATAGGAAGGGTTTGACCCAGACTCTAGACTAGTCTCCTGTGACACTTAGGAACAAAGGAGAATCCATCCCCCAAAGCTGGCCCTTCATTCATTGACCTGCTTAGAGCCAGTCTTCTTTCAGGCTTCAGGCCTGTGTCTCTCTGAGCTCATGTACAGGCTCATTTTGCTATTGGAACCTAACACAAAAGTAACGTGTGTCTGAGTAGATCTGGATAAAAGGGCTTCATCCCAAGTAGAGCAGAAGTAGGAGTGTGAACCACAGAAGGGGCTGGAGACTCACAGCATCCATAGTCCCAGCAATTAAGGTAGCTGGGGATGAAAACTGCCACCCTACCTGCCTTACCTTCCTTCCCCTCAGAACATTATCAGAAGAGCACACCATTCCTGAGGCCTTTAAACACTATGTGAATTGGGGAGTGGAGGCCCGGTTTCTGGGTCCACCTTGGACCTTATCTGTTTCCTTACCTAAATTGGGGATTCAAAATGACTGATGCTAAAGCTCCCTTCCAGCCCTAAATGCCTGGGATACTAGACCGTGTTTAAGGCTGCATTCATGCCTGCATAGTAAATACATTCTAAGACAGCCAGGCCCTTACACTTCGCCTTCCAAGCTGGCACCCCTCCCCATGACACCTCCGCAGACCTATCCCACCCAACCAAGGCTGGGGCATCTCAGGGCCCTTCTCTGAGCAGCACAGCACCCTTGACTGGTCAGCCTTGTGTACGGTCTGTCACCTTGCTGCCCGCAGCCTTCAGAGCTCTTTCTGTCCCACACCCTCAAACCTGGAGCCAACAGGTCTAGGATCAGGTGACACCATCTCTTCTTACTAATGCCTCCTCTGAATTGTTCAAAGTCATCTCAACAGCCTCTAGTGATGCAGAAGAATCTCCCAGACTCAACTAAGGCCTCACCAAGGTTTTGAAGCTAAACTAAAATGAAAGAGAAAAGAATCCCGCAGGATATATATATATATATATATATATATATATATATATATATATATATATATTTTTTAGTTTTTTTCTAATTTATTCATGAGAGACACAGAGAGAGAGGTAGAGACACAGGCAGAGAGAAGCAGACTCCATGCAGGAAGCCCGACGCGGGACTTGATACCAGGATCCCAGGATCACGACCTGAGCCAAAGGCAGAACCTCAAGCACTAAGCCACCCCTTTCTCTGAGTTGTTTCAAGCCACATCTGCTGCATTGAACACCACATACATATAGCTTGACCTGACCCAACCAAATCTATCAACTCCCACTTGGGCAACTCTGGGCAGTCTAATCCCAACTCCAGGAAGCTCCAGTGACATGACAGGCCTTTGTGGGGAAGAGGCTGAAATTATCACAACCACAGGGGAAGGCTGTCCTGATTGGGATGTCCAGGGCTAGGGGGTCCCAGGGGGCTGCTGGATGTGGGAAAGAAAAGGATCCATTATCTGCTAAATGGGTTAAGGAACCTTTGATGGAAATGTGAAAATAGTGGGGTTTTTTTATTTTGGAGATCACTTTATAGTCCTCCAGAGACTTTCCCAGATCTTCTCCTTCAGCCTTTGTTGAGAACTCCTGCTGGGGATTTAGGGCTTCCAGGATACAGTGTCCATGACCTCGGTTGAGCTGAGGGAATTCCATCTTGGAAGCTCAGAGCTGCGGACAGCCTGGATGGAACTCAGGGGGATCAGCTGATCTGCCCTGAGGAGAAGGGACCTCAGATCAGAGCTCGTGACAGAAGAGGGTTGGAAGAGGGGGCGGGCGGGGGGGGGGGGCGGACATCTGTGGGAAAAGCTTTTTAACAAGGGTGGCTTTGATTTTCTGGGAAAGAGAATTTTCCACAAATCCCCCTGTCTCCCTCCTGGCATTATCACAGTGCCCAGATCTGGCAAATACTTTCTGAGCAAATCACACCCACACCCTGACTCCAGGGCTAGCCCCTCCTGTCTCTATTCTCAAAGACTTCCAGAAAAAGTACCCTTGGCTTCTCCTCAGGGCAACATGGCCCTGCTCCAGGAAGCTTCTCTTTTATCATTTCCCAAGCTCTCCCTTTTCTGGTGTCTCAGATTCGACGGCTCCTGGCTACCCATTTCTGCCAAGGCTTGACATTAAACACACATCACATGTTATAAATTGCAAATGAAGTTTATTGTGCAGACACCAAGACCACAGCGCTTTAGATGCAGAGTCAGAAAGGTGGGCTATGTACACAGATACGTGTTTCCCTCGGGGCAGGGCCACCAGAAAGGTGCAGGCTTTGGGATGGGGCCCTCAGCAGAACAGTCGTCCGGAGAAGGGACCCCGAATGTGTGACGCCAGGAGGGGCCAGGAGAGGGGGCATGGCTGGAAGTGCAAGCCTAGGCAGCGCAGACGCTTCCCCGGGGCACAGAGGGTGTCACTGGCTCCAACGAATTGGTTTGGAGAGAAGATATTTCAGACACAGTATGTGGGAATCCCTTTCCTCCAAAACGCCATCAGAGATGGAAGACAAGGTTTGATTTTCTGTCGATTTGGATGAGCAGACACAGGATTCTACGTTCTAAAGCAGAAGAGTCAAGGGTGGAACTCATCCTTATCTAAAAGAGAAGGTCACACTGGAGCCTGAGCCAGAGCCACCCTTTTCGGAGCTGGAACCTCCTCTAGAGCCACCTCCAGAGCCATAGCCTCCTCCAGAGCTGGAGCCATATCCTCCCCCAGAGCCAGAACCTCCTCTAGAGCCACCTCCCGAGCTATATTTTCCTCCACTGCCACCTCCAGAGCCAGAGCCTCCCCTGGAGCTGCCTCCAGAACCATATCCTCCTCCAGAGCCAGAGCCTCCTCTGGAGCCGCCGCCAGAGCTGTAGCCTCCTCCACCGCCACCTCTGGAGCTCGATCCTCTGCCTCCAGAGCTGTAACTGCCACTTCCAGAGCTGAATCCTCCTCCTCCAGAACTGGATCCTCTACCTCCAGAACCATAGCCTCCAAAGCCGGCCCTGGATGTCACACTTGAGGACATGGAGCTGCTGGTCACAGCTGCGGAGAGAAATGGCATCGCCATGGAAGTCCTGGGTGCCTTGGCCCGCATCCTCCCGACACACCACCCGCGGGACCGGAATAACCCCACTACTTACAGACAGTCACGTTGCTGCTGAGGTCTCCAGACATCCTGTCAGGGAGAGAAAGACTAGATCACGGCTGAGCCCTTGGGCTCTGACTGCGGGTTGTTCTACAGCTTTCGGCCTGCAAACACGCGCTTCTGCCATCGGCCACCAGGGCCTTCCAGGGCCCACTCACTCTGCACTGGCAGGTCACAGACGTGGGCAGGCCCCACATTTTCCCACATGGCGTAGCATCCCGATTCATCTCGATTTTTTGCTCAGATGAAAATGGTCAAAAAGCAAATTCACTTCTGACCGGCAACCCACGTTTGTATTTCAGTCTATCTGAGGGAGTCTGATATCCCAAATCCAAGCCACCGTCGGCATTCAACTCCGAAAGAATTGCAGCTCTGTACGGCCTTCCCATCCTACCCCTCTGCCCCCGCCTCCTCTGCTCCATCTGAAGTCTTTGCCGCTTCTCCCTGCGGGCGGGGGGCGGGGGCCTGGCCTCCAAGACAGGTACGGAGCCACAGCCGAAGCAAAGCAGCTCCTTCTCTGTCTCACTGGCTGGCCGGTGGGTGACCTGGGGGAGCTTGGCCCCTTCCAGGTGCTTCAGCCAGATGAAATCACGAGGATGCCGCTAACGCACACAAAGGGCTCAGACAGGGCCTTCAAACAGAGGGAGGACAGGTTCCCTTGTGGAGGGTTAGCAGATGATTCCGCTTGCCAGGCCGGAATTCTGCAAAGAACCCGGTCTGGCACCTGCCGCAAGTGAAGGGTCAGCCAGTCACCCCTCAGCCAGTCAGGGTGATCCAACACGTGATCCCCTAGTTCTGGGTCACAAGGTGGAAGGTGCCCCACAGACCCGTAAGCCAATGTTTCAGGCTCTCTAGGACTCACCCGTTTTCACGACATTTTATTTTCTCTTTCAGAAAAGACAAAGATTAGCTTATTGCCTAATTTAATTTAATTTACTCTGGCTTAGTAGTCATTCCATATTGATAAATCTAATGCTTTGGGTCGAGAATGGCTGCCTAAGACACAGAGTGATACCAGCTTTCAGCTGTCAGAAGGCCCTGATTCACCTCCAGCTTTCCCTGCCTTCCCTCCAGCCCCGGTTCTAGGGGACAGGGGAGGGCGGACCACGTTACCCTTATGCTTTCCAGTGGCCCCCACCTGCACTCCTCGCCCTCCAGCAGCTTGCGGTAGGTGGCGATCTCCACGTCCAGGGCCAGCTTGACGTTCATGAGCTCCTGGTAGTCACGCAGCAGCCGGGCCAGGTCCTCCCTGGCCTGCTGCAGAGCCTCCTCCAGGTCCGAGAGCTTGCCCTGAGCATCTTTGACTGCGTGCTCTCCCTTCTGCTCAGCTTCTGCAATGGCTTCTTGCACACTCTTACACTGGGAGAGAAGGAGAAAAGGTTCCTGGGGGGGGGGTCCAGAGTGGAGTCCTCTGTGCGAGCAGATGTGTTCAGGGTATGGGAAGCCAGCCTCCCTGGCCCTGGAAGTGTTGGGTCCCTCTGGAGTTAATGTGAGTCGCAAACAATGATGCCAAGACTCGCTGCCGTCTCTGGGTCATGGTCTTCCAGTCACGTCTGACTGGGCCCTCATGCTTTCCCCATAGTGACCTTTATCCTCACAACACAGGGCCTGAGGCATTATCCCATACTCCCATACACCCCCGTACACCACCTCCCACCCACCCAAGCCCCACGCGACCCCTGGAGCCGCACAGCCCTCAGGGCTGCGCCCACCTGCTTCTTCACGTGGGCTATCTCCCCTTGCAGCCTCTGGATCATGCGGTTCAGCTCGCTGATCTCCATCTTGACCTCCTTCAGGCTGTCTCCGTGTTTCCCTGCAGTCACCTGGAGCTCTTCGTACTGCCCGGGAAGAAGAGGACAGTGACAGCTTGGAGGAAGCCTGGCTTGAGCCACGGAAAGTCTAATACAGGGGGAGCCAACCAAGCTGCCTTCGCAAGATGTGGGGGACTGTCTCCCATCCCCAGAAGGATTCAGTGCCATTCTCAGTCGAGGGCAGCTGTGGTGCTGCGGACACTCTTGCTTGGGAATGGGCCCAACTTCCATGAGACAAAAGCACCAGCCATCTCACTGGACACTTTCTGGCTGAAGTGAACCCCAGCTTGTGAGACAGAGCTGTGGCTCTCTCTGCTCTCCTCCTACTTGCCTTGCTGTGGTAGAGAGCTTCGGCCTCAGCCTTGCTCTTCTGGGCGATCTCCTCATACTGGGCTTTGACCTCAGAGATGATGCTGTCCAGGTCCAGGCTGCGGTTGTTGTCCATGGACAGGATGACATTGGTTTCGCTGATCTGAGTCTGCATCTGGGACAGTTCCTGCAACACACGAGGTGTCTGGCCCTGGCTTTCCCGCCCACAGCCAAAGGCCGTGAGGAGCATCCTCCTCCCCAGGGTTAGGGAAGCAGACTCTCAGACCAAGCTGGGTGGGCTACAATGGGCGGGATGCAAGTGACATAACCACCAATCCTAGGCCTCTGCCAAGGATGTCTAGAGAATTATGAGAGGAGAGTCTATTCCTGAGCCTCCTGCTGTATAGCCCTCACCATTTATGCAGTTTTGGTGTGTTTGATGCCCCCAGAAAGAAGCCTGCCGATGACAAATGTTCCAGAAGATATTTGCACACATGGGCATGGGGGGGGAGGTCTGTTACATTTTGGCCTCTGACGTACATTAGACATAGGAAGGGGAAAAGGACTGGTCTCTTCCTAAGGGGAGCTGGACATTTGAGGAATGGAGTGAAGGGAAGTGGTCTCCGTGTTTCCTGAGCCTCACTTCTTGTGACATCAGAGATAAGTTCCTCTCCTCCAAGACCTACGCCACAGAAACGCCCTCGAGGCCTGGAATGGTGGCAAGTTGGAGTCAGCCAGTCCATAAGCCCCATTCGCCCCCACCTTTTCACCAGCTGGGAAAGGACTGGTTTGGTGGGAAGGGTGGGATGCAAGGGTCTATCCAGGAGCAGCCTCCTTACCGCATCAAAAAGGAATTTAATGAACTCAAGCTCCTGGGTCAGCACATCAGTCTTGGCCTGCAGCTCCACCTTGGTCATGTAGGTATTGTCCACGTCCTGCAGAAAAGGTGAGGGGCTTCTAGCGAAACCCACGCACTGCTCATGTGTGGGCCCCACCCTCTCCCTGTCCCTCTCTTCCACTCAGTCCCTGTTAGCTGCTCTCCAACAGCTCAGGCACCTCAGTGAGCCATGTGTCCCTGGGCGTCATTTGGCGCAGAGTCCACCGTGCGCCTCGACTAGGGGGCTCATGCCCTTGTTCACTGCTCACATTCCCCCAAAACCAGCAGAGCTCTGGTGGGATGAGCTCTGTCAACCGTTCCCTCCCTCCTGCTTGAGACACTGTGGTTCCTGCTGCGGGACCTAATGGCCTCTGTGGCTGTTAGCAGTCCTCAACTCTCCCATCCTGTCCATCCAGCCCACCTCTCCTGAATTTCCTCTGGATTTTACACCAAAGCTTCTGCAGGAACCAGGCTAAGAAGCCACACTTCGGGCCTTCTAGCCCAAACTTGTCAGCACAACCAGCAACATCTTTACGCCGGCTTTCTAAGGGAGGTCCAGCCCTTCCTCAGCTTTTCAGAAGAAAACTAAGGTGCTTCCTGTGTTTGCGTCTTGCACGGCCCAATATAGGCCTTAAGGAGGTTATTTATTTTTATTTTTATTTATTTATGATAGTCACAGAGAGAGAGAGAGAGAGGGAGAGACACAGGCAGAGGGAGAAGCAGGCTCCATGCACCGGGAGCCCGACGTGGAATTCGATCCCGGGTCTCCAGGATCGCGCCCTGGGCCAAAGGCAGGCGCCAAACCGCTGCGCCACCCAGGGATCCCCTTAAGGAGATTATTGATGAAAATGCTCTAGCAAATCTGCAGCCCAGCTCCAGAAGCTTGAACTGCAGAGACCCTTCCGTTCTCAACAGAACCAGCCTATGTGGCTGGTTGGACATGCTCCACCCCCTCCCCTGGTGACTGCTGTTTCCACTCAGAGCTGTTCTCCAGCCCGTCTGCTGGCGCCCGGTGGGCTTCTGCAGCCCCCTCTTTCCCACCCAGCCCTGACACCCTCCTGCTCACCTTTTTAAGTGTCACAAAATCATTCTCAGCAGCTGTGCGCTTGTTGATTTCATCCTCATACCTGAGGGGACCCGGGGACACAGCTGTTAGATTAGCTCTACTTTGTTCACTTTTTTCCTTTTCCTTTTCCTACTGGACTCACCCCCACACTCCCCATTCTCTGAGAGTATTAAACACTCCTTCGCTACCTAAATTGTAACTACGAGGTCCCAAATAGGTAGATTTTTCTATAAGTTAAGTCTCAAGCAGGTGAAAAAGCATCCATGTCTAAGGCTCTGAGATGTCTTCCTCATAAATAATCACCACACAAATTATCACCACAAATGCGACGGGGACACAAGTGGCCCCCTGGGGGGACGATCAGATGGCTACGATCAATATCTTTTCGGCGTCTACTCTGCCACCTACTTCTTCTTAAAATCTTCGACAAGATCCTGCATGTTGTTCAGCTCTGAACCTTGCGATGTTCGTTCCGCAGAAAGCGTGTCCACGTATTTCTTCAGCTTGGCGATGTACGCTTGAAAGATGGGCTCCAGGTTGGTAGTGCGGGTGCTCACATCCAGCTGCTGCAGCAGCTCCCACTTGGTCTGCAGCACCTGGTTCTGCTGCTCCAGGAACCGCACCTACGGGGACCAGGGGAAGAGCCCATGAGCTCTGGATTGCCCTTCCCACCAGCCGGCCACACTTGGCCAGAGCCAGCTCTGATCCTGCTTCGGGGCACAAAGAAGTCTACGCGGCTTTGTGCTCACAAGCTGGATACTGCATCCAGCTCGGGCTCCCTGCCTCCACACGTGGAAAGTTCTATAGGCTTCTAAAGTTACATCTGGCACTTTCCACACAGAGAACTCTTTTTCCTACTACTTCACCGCCTACTATCTCGTTTGCAGCTGCTCCCAGCACTCCAGGCCATTTCCCTCTCCCATCCTAGTTGGATTCCCGGCCAAAGTCCCACAAAGTCTTGAGCAAACCAAAAATAGGCGTCCACTGGCACTGCTCCTAAAGGTGCAAGCGTGAGAGCAGTGCAGGGCAGGGCTCCTCGGTCTGATTTTTAAGAGCCTCATAAATTTCTTAGGCACGTTCATCTGCCTTGAAGTAGGCTGAGACTCCGTAACGCTCAAAAATGACACCAGTAAAAGATTTTACAGGTCACAAAACCGAGAATGCTTCTCTTGAAGGCAAGAATTTCATTCATTCCCAAGCAAGCTCAGCTTCCCAGAACTGAAGACAATAGTGACTCCCAGGGAAGGAAAGACTGTCTCAGAAGATGTCTTACCAATTTCTTCTTCTAACACCTGCTGCCACTAGGCCTGAACTACTTCCACTCCATTACTTGTCTATATCAGTTTTCCCATGATTTTCAGAACTTTCCATAAATATTACTTAAACTATAAAGCCAAAGGCATACGTAACTCCTAACTTCGGACTGTTTCAGAAGACGCAGCCCACAAAGCTAGCATCTTTCCCATTTGGGATATAAGCCAGGCTGGTTTGACTACCCCAAGGGCTCCTACAAGAAACGAATCTGTGCCACTTCCTTTCCAGTGAGTTGGAAGTAGGGCATCCTGCGCATCACATGGAGCCAGCTTCTCGGGACTCACCTTGTCAATGAAAGAAGCAAATTTGTTGTTGAGCGTTTTGATCTGCTCCCGCTCCTGAGACTTCACGTTCTGGATCTCTGGGTCAACTTTCACGTTGAGAGGCTGCAGGAGACTCTCATTGATGGAGACTTCGTGGATGCCTCCACCAGGGAATCCTCCGGGCCCAAAGCCACCAGGACCCCCAAAACCTCCAAGGCCACCGCCACCTCCAAAGCGGCCTCCGCCAAAGCCACCTCCACCGAAACCACCGCCTCCAAAGCCGCTGCCTCCTCCAAAACCGCCGCCTCCAAAGCCACCTCCACCGAAGCCGCTGCCTCCTCCGAAGCCGCTGCCACCTCCAAAGCCACCTCCTCTGCCGCCAAATCCACCACCGGAGCCAAAGCTTCCGCCTCCTCCAGCCACACTAATGGAGATGCTCTTGGTGCCTCCGAGGCCAACAAGACTCCGACTGCCAAAGCCGCCACCGCCGGCGCCCCCTCCGCCACCGCCGTGGCGGCTCAAGCAGGAGAAGCTACGGGTTGATCTCCTGCTCCCACCGGAGACCACGGCTGAGCCACTGCTGAAGCTCCGGAATCCTCCTCCTCCTCCTCCTCCTCTTCGGGATTTACATGAGATCTGACAACTCATGATGCCTTTGCCCAGTGGGGAAAATTGAGGTTTCCGAGATGAGTTGAGGCTGGAGACTGCGCTCTGCTGTTGGGAGACCGTCAGGGTCCCCTTTTATACCTGCCAACTAGGTGTTGGAGAGCATGGGCGTGGGCACACGTAGGCATGGGTTTGGTCTGCCTAGAAGCTACGCCTGGTTAGTGATTATCAAGCTAATAGCCATTAAAAATCTACTAATCAGCTGCATCCCAAAACTTGCTTGGGCTGCAAACCTCTCCTGTTTATCTGGGCATCTGTCATGCAATTCGATTTTTGTGAAATCATCAAAAGAGGAGATCAGGCTGTGGGTTTCTCAATCTGAGAAAAAGACCTTCTGCAGAATGTTGTTCCCTGCTCTGGACCAACCCAAAGGAGGGCAGCTAGCACCGGGCCTGTGCAGGCTTGCCATCCCGGCGAGGTTGATGAAAGAGACGACAGGTCTGGAGACTACAGGGGCCCCTCGGTGGCAGCTTTAGAGTCCTTGCTTCTCCCGCTGCTCCAGGAAGAGGGTCCCCAAGGGCTTCTGTGGAGGGCAGATGTAGCGTGGGCAAGGATACATACTCTTACAGAAACAAGTTGGCCTAGGATGCTCCCAAAGAGTTGTCATTTTTCAAAGTATCCTGACTCCTTCCCGTGCCACACCAGGAGTACACGATAGCCAGTCACTGAGGAGAGGAGAATTTTCTTTCTTGTAACGAGAAATCCTCATAGTCCTCAACTCTTGTCATTTTTTGACATGAAAACCCAGAGGATGAGGGGCTTAAGGAAAGCATCCCTATTCCTGGGTCTGACTCTGGGCACCCAACAAGAGGTTGTAATCAAAGGCTTTCTAGAACTCTAAAGTCTAAGTGTATATTGATTTAGCCAGTCACTAATCACATATTCTTGGGTGATTCTACTAAGCAGCCGGGAAGTCTGACTCCTCGATGACCACCAGCGACAGACGAATATCAGAGAACCCATCGAGTCACCAAATGCACAGAGCACCCACTTCGCAGTCCTCCCTCTGCCTGTGTGGCCAGGCGCGGGAGCGCTGGAACGGGATTTAAGGGTCTAGGCGTGAGTCCCAGTTTGTGATTTCCTGGCTCCGTGACGTTGAATTAAACGTTGAATTAAACTCCGTACTTCTGGCTACAAAATGGGAAATCCACACCAAGCGTTTTGAAAACCGTGACACGATACAAACGTTAGGTATCCCTACTCTTTCGGGTGAAGCAAAAGTATCTCCTCCTCCGTTTGGTGCTAAGACCGTGCATTCCACGTAGGCCCCGTGAGTTATAGAACCAGGGCCCAGGACAGAGGGAGCATAAAATGACATCGAAAACTTAAGTTTCCAGTTTAAGTCTCAGTTCCATTGTATTTTAGTTAAACGACCCTGGATTAGTTAAAAAAAAAAAAAAAATTTTTTTTTTTTTTTTGTTTTTGAGCCTGGATTTCCTCATTTCCAAAAGTGAACAACAAGAAGAAGATGGCTATTGTAAGAACAGAGCATGTACGCGCGTGCTTCCGACAGCTCCCAGTTAGTAGCAGACACTCAAGAAGTGTTACTTCCCGCCTACCCTCCACCCAGTCTCCCAACCCTGTGCCCTAACTACATGGCCAGAGTAGGGAAGAGGGCGAAGAACAAACAGGGAGCCGGCTGTTGGTGCGACTTGTTTTGCAGTAAGAGAGTGCTGAGGAAAGCAAACCCATGTGTCTCCTGGATCCCCCCCCCCCCCCGGCTTATATAATCATGATCATGCAAATCAATCCTAAGGCTGAAAGCTTTGGAGAGAACCTCAATCCAGAGTCAAACGCGTCGTTATCTGTGGATATCTGAACAACGCCCTAATTGTCCATTACTCTACCATGACTATGCCCAGGCCACGCCAGCTTCGGGAGCGGCTCCGTCCCCCTGTGAGGGAAAGGCCTAAACGTCGATGGAGCATCCACTCTGCCCCAGGCCTGTGCCAGGCACGCAATGTGCACGTGCCACCGCTCTAGGAGCCTGCGTCTGCTCCAGGTCTCCCTTCCCGTTCTCCCCACTGGGCACCCTCCCTTTCTGGACCCATCTGCCAGCTTCTGAAAGTCAAGTGGAAGAAGGGGAGCCCTCCTCTTCCCTTGAAATGCGGAGGGTGGAATTAACGCAACTTAGATGTCGTGGACTGTTTTACTTCCATTATTCGTAACTTTACCTTTTACATAATCTCCATGTGCTTCGATAGTATATTTAACATTTTATTTCCAGACTCTTAGACTTTACCTTTTATATAATCTCAGCGTGCTTGTCCAGAGAACATGTTCCTCTTTCTCTTAAGGAGTGAAGTGGGAATTAAGACTCGACTCGGTTCAGGCGGTTATTTATTTTTTTTTTAAGATTTTATTTATTTATTCATGAGAGACATGGAGAGAGAGAGAGGCAGAGACACAGGCAGAGGGAGAAGCAGGCTCCATGCAGGGAGCCCGATGTGGGACTCGATCCCGGGACCCCAGGATCAGGCCCTGGGCTGAAGGCAGGGGGCCCCCCAGGCTGCCCCTCTGGCGGTGATTTTTTTTTAATTTTTATTTATTTATGATAGTCACAGAGAGAGAGAGAGAGAGAGAGGCAGAGACACAGGCAGAGGGAGAAGCAGGCTCCACGCATCGCATCGGGAGCCCGACGTGGGATTCGATCCCGGGTCTCCAGGATCGCGCCCTGGGCCAAAGGCAGGCGCCAAACCACTGCGCCACCCAGGGATCCCTCTGGCGGTGATTTTGCAGCTGACTTCCACTGTGATGCTCAATGTCTTCACCTATAAAATGGGGACACTTACCCTGGATCCCCACTATACCATAAGGATATTGACCCGTTGGTATAATGGGTTTTAAACTTTGCTGCCTCTGATAACAGAACAGGGATCATCCTGTAGGACAAACTCCTTCTTTCAACCAGCTGCTGGCAGGCGCAGGCCCCCAAGTACTTCCCCTCACAAGCTTTCAAAAGCATCTACCTTGGCCAGAGGAGCAGAAAGGCAAGCCCCCAGTGTGAAGTGAACTGTTCAGCCAGTGGGAAACACAGATTCTTCTGGCAGGAATGAATCCCCCTGCCCACACTGCCTTGTATCTCTCTCACAGCCTGTCACAGTCCTCCTTGTGCAGCAAGGAGCCTTGGCTCTGGACGTGAGCCAGGGTCACATTCAGCTTCACCCCAAACCTCCAGCCCCCCAGCCCAGAGCAGTTGCTCAGAGAATAAGCCCAGGATCCAAAACACACGATTAGGGCTTGGGATTGGGAATTGGCAGCCTTCCTGGACTCGGGAAGGTGACGCAAGCGGCGCTTGCGTCTTCGCAGCCTGCCCTGCACCTGTTCCCCAAAGATCCCACCGGGACCCTGTCTCAGGTGTCTGACTCACCCCCGTCGGGGAGGGGGTCCCCTCCACGGGGCCAGCAAGGTCAGTCTCGCCTTCCAAGGACTCGAAGCATTGCTGAACAAAGCGGCCGAAACCAAGTGTTTGGATTTCAAAAGCAAGACAAACAACAAACCCTCCTGTCCCAGCCCCTGCTGCCGACTCCAGGGTGCTCTAGGGGTAACAGCCACGCAGAGCCCAAGAACATCAAGAAGTTCAGGAAGCACGTCGGCTGGAAACAAGCCATCCAGAGGCCAGCCCGCAGCAGAGACCTGTAAAGGCAGCACATGTCTTGTCCCTGTCCCCGCACTGAATGCTAAGCGGGCGCACTCCGTCAGTGCCTAGACGCTGCTCCAAAGAGCTCGTGGCTCCAGGGGCCAAGGGCAGGTGGGACAGGGGACTCCCAGGCTCCCTGCAGGAGGCATTTGCTCAGGATCTCCCCTGGGATCACTTCATTGTGCGTGATGATCTTAACCCAGCTCACTCAGCCCCTAGTCGCACTGTCATCTACCATAGGCCTGAGCCCCTCCTTTCTTACCTGATATGTCCTTTTTTACTGTTTTTTTTTATCTGATTCCTTTTTTTTAAAGATTTTATTTATTTATTCATGACGGACACAGAGAGAGAGGCAGGGACACAGGCAGAGGGAGAAGCAGGCTCCCTGCAGGGATCCCGATGCAGGACTCGATCCCAGGACTCCGGGATCACGACCTGAGCCAAAGGCAGACGCTTAGCTACTGAGCTACTCGGGTGCCCCCCCACTCCTTTTTTTTTTTTAACCACGAACCCCATGGCTACTGATTTGAAGCTGTCCTGGCCAAACTGGTTGTAACTGAGGAGCCACAACACAAAGTGCCCATCACTCCACCGTGTGGACTCCACCATTCTGCAATGCAGAGTCTCTGGAACGTGCTTCCCAACAGGCTTATCAGGAAATCGGAGTGTTCCCACTGCTGGGAAACAGCACAGACCCCAGAAACAGAAGAAGGATAAGGACAGGGACGCTGCCCAGGACACAGCAGGGCCGTGATGCCTGCGGATTGAACCAGTGACGCGCTCCAGAAATCAAGAGACGAAGCCCTCAGCGTAGTGCCGGACACACAGAGGGCAGGCCAGGGATGCCTCATGTGGTTCTCATTATCTAGTGGAGAATTTTCTAATTCCCGGAGATCGGGCCAGGCAGTGGGAGTCATCCACCCCTGCTCCGTTCTCCACGGGGTCAGCCCACGGCTGAATGCACTCAGCCGGGCCACGTACAACCCACGGCGCGGGTGCCTGGGTGCTCCACACTGTCGGGGTAATGACTCCGCTCCGACCAGTCTGCCTGTGGGTTCCCACCTGCAGCAGATCTTCACTCACAACAGAGAGAGCCAAGAAATGGATCTTCATGGAAAATTCTTGCCGTTCCCAGCCCCAGCCCTCGTTCCTGCCTGTTTCCCAGACCACGTTCCCCTCCCGCGCCGGCACCAATGTTCTTACTCTTGCCCGTTGACCGTATCGCCACCCCGGCATGGAAGGAAAAGACAACCGTCAGATGCTCGATCCCATCCTGGATCAGGTGTCCCTCACGGTTCAGGGATTCCTCTGGACTCCCCCAAATTTAATGCTCCCACCTTCCGCCCCTGCCCCTCACTCTCTGGGTGCCCCCCTGCTGGTTCTGGATTCCACTGCC